GGCATCTGGACCACACTGATCAAAGGAGTTAATCAACCAAGAGCAGTCCTCTCTCCCTTGGCCATTAGGACCATACTGACCCTGAGAGGTGATGGGAGAAGATTTTCAGGGCCCAACCTCCAGGGACAGGGTTCAGTTGAGGCAGTGGGCACTATACTTGTGTTAGCTTTGAAACATGGATTCATAATGAAAGAACCAAGCAGCCTCTGCCTGTGCTCAGAAATTAGGAAGTAACAACTCTGGTGTGCCTGACCTTCTGGCTTCTGAATTAATTTCAAATCTGTTCTGTAGCAGCTGGAATAAAGACCACTAAAGATTCCTCTGAGGAAGTTCCTGGAGGAAATGTCCTAGAACTTGGTCTTAGAGGAATTCTTAGTAGTCATGTCTCCAAGGTACCATTGGAGCATGGAGACCTTTGTTCAGGGGCAATTTTGGATTGCAGACGTCAGCTGGGAATTTCTAGCCTCTTTCAGTGTAGTTCTCTTCCAATTGGTTCTTTCCAGACCAACCTCCAAAAACAGAAGGGCTCTCAGTGTAGTTGGGAGCTATGGGGTCACTGAATCTTGAACCTGAACTATTGGGAATGTTATGAACTATGCAGGCAACCTTGAATTCAGACCATTGATAGTCCAGTGGCAGTAGTTGTGGCTTCATGTACCCAGGTTTGATTCCTGGCCAATGTGTGTGTTTGCTGTTGACCCTAACACAGTTCATTTGCTGCCCTTGCAGAGCATCTGTGGGACTCTCTTGTGCATGCAAGATTAGAACAGTAATCCTTTTTACTACCTCTGCTGGACTGTTTATTTTACTAAACAGGACTGTTTACTAGATTTGTAAATCTAGTCTACGCAGAGATCTAGCATCTAGAAGCTGTCAAACAACAACAAAAAGGGAACCTGGCAATTATTTTGGAATAAAAGATATTCAAGAGTTTGTCTAAACCATAGGTTGACAGCTTTGGGGGCCAAACTGTGATTCTGGAAGGATTAGAGCTTGGCCTGAAGTATAACAACCACTCCTCCAGGTTGTATCTTCCAAGATGGGAGGTTAAGTTCTGGTGTGTTTCTGTAGTGTAAAACATTTAGAAATAATATCCTTGCCACATTTGCCTACAACTCCAAGTGATCTAGAGAAAGTATCATCATTTAACTTTGATTTGCATGCTGGGCCTCCGGCTGGCCACCTGGTAGCTTCTCACTATGCAGTAGGGATGCAGTAACTGAACCTCCAGGAAGGAGAGTAGCTCTGGGGTGGGCCAGATACCCCAATAATACTAAAGACGTTTAGTCTTAGTATTCCCAGGTCCAGGGAAGGGCAAGGCTTTTAGGCAGTAATCCATATATTGCTGACAGGAAGCTGTGAGGAGTGTGCTTGGGCCTTGTAGGCAGGTGAAATTCAGTCTAAATCAGGAGCCTGTGGCTTCCAATAAAGCCAGCTGCCCTGTGCTCAGCCCCCTCAGTGGTGCCATTTGGCTCCAGAGAGCCATAGCACATGCAAAAAAGGAGAAAAGGCTGAATGAAGCACTGGCAGTTATTCCTAAATCTAGACAGATATAGTAATGTGCAAGTACAAAGCAGAAAAGAAGGATGCACGGAGACAGTGAGAGTCTGTCTGACTCTGTATAGCACATACTATAAATGTATTTTAAAAAATTATCAACTTGGGGGAGGGCGCCTGGGTGGCTTAGTCGGTGGAGCATCCGACTTTGGCTCAGGTCATGATCTGGCAGTTCATGGGTTCCAGCCCCGCATCGGGCTCTGTGCTCACAGCTCAGAGC